CGTGGAGGGCCAGGATGATCGGTTCTTCGGCGTGTAAGGTAAGTTTCGACGAAGAGCGCTGACGGAACCTGCGCGCAGTTGCATGGAAGGTCAGCAGGCGCGTCGAGTTCTCGGGTGAACGGCGCACCGCTGTGCGGGGGCGCGCGTTGCGGAAGAAACGCAGAAACCATTTCGACAGAAAACGAGTTGGGGCGCGACGTGCGCGAAGGTGGGCGAGGGGAGAGGAATCTCGCGGCGACGTTGCCGGAGGTCGCGGGATTCCGAGGGCAGAAATTTGTCGAAGCCGTTGCAACTTATGACAATCAGGATATTGGGCTGGCCTCCGGCCAGTGCCGCCGATCCGGGGGGGGGTGAGAGCGAGATGATGATGATGATGATGATGATGATGATGATGATGATGATGGGGATCATGATGATCATGACGATTGGGTCGATGGTGATGATGTTTATGATGTGAGTGTTGGTGATGATGAGCATGGACGCCCTCTTGGGGGCCTGTTGGCGTGTCTTCGGGAGCTCTGGGGCTGTCTTGGACATTGTGAAGGCCCAAGAAACGAATGTGCCGAAAATTTACGTTTTCCCAAGGGAATGGGTTTATTTGTCAGTCTTTGGGCATTCTTGGGAAGTGTCGTGAGGGATCCTGGGGGCGTCTTGGAGGTTTCTGGAATTGTCTTCGGGGCATCTTGGGCGGTTCGAGCGATGGTTCGGCGATTCGGGGCCGTCTTGCATTGTCTGGGGGGCCTCTGGGGCCTCTCTTGGTTTCCTCTTGGGCTGTCTTGGGCGGTCGGGGCTCCGGAAGTTGAGTTTTCTATGCCCCCTGTCCCTGGGCGCCGAAAAACGTCGGAAATAACGTCGGAAAGATCCCCGGGCACCGAAAAAACGTCGGAAATGACGTCGGAAATGACGCGCGCCCCCCCCCCTGCATAGCGAAGCTCGAGCGAGCTCAAGTCCACGCTCTCGGAAACTCACGCGCCGGATCGGCGGATTCGGTGCCGCATTGGGAAGCAGAGGGTCGTGATGTGGGCGACGTAGCGTGGGGGGCAGTTCTCGCGGGTCGCGGCGAGTGATCGCGCGTGCCGTGGTGGGGGGCAGAGGCGGCCGTGCATGGTGGATGACGACGTGCGGTGGTTAGTGCGCCACGCCAAGGAGAGCGCGCGTTTTGCCGGGGTGGCTTCCGCTGGCGAAAGGCATTCACTTCGCGCTCGGCGTGCGGGGCCGGCGCCTCCCAGGCTGGTGGCCGGGGCAGTGTCCAGTATTCCCGTCAAAAAGGTGCCAGTGGTGCTTGGGCGGGTATCGGGGTCGCCCAGTGTCGAGTGTCGAGCGCGCGCAGTCCATGATCGCGCCGTCGTTAGCAGTGACAGCGCGCGCCGCGCAAGGGCGAGCAGTGGGCGTGGTCGTGGCGGGCCTTCAAAGCGGGCGCGGCGTTAATTGGGTTTCAAATTTCGTTGCCGTCGCGCGTGTGCGAGGGCGCGAACGCTGAGTAGTATTCGGGCCATTTGAGAGGAAGTCGCGCAACGCAGGCGAGACGGTCGGCGCGTGGAAGCTGTTGCAGGTTCTCCCAGGGGAGGGCGTGGGCTGGGGAGGAAGCGGGGCGGGGCGAATGCCGCGGGACTTGCGCGAGCGGTGCCGGCGCTGGCTCCCTCTTGAAGCGTTCCCGGAGTGCGAGTTCCAGGCGATGGAGAGGCCTGCGCTTTGAACAGAATGCGCGGCGGAGGTGAAAACCGCGAACGAGAAATGGTGCAATGCGTGCAGAGCGCATGCGTTGCAATGAGGTGGTGGTGGGGGGGCGGGCGCGGTGGCGAGCTGGGAGACGCGGTGGTCGGTGGCGCGTGGGGGCCTGGAAATATTCGGACCGCGTGTTGCGCGAGGTGCAGCCGTGTCAAAGCGCAGCAGAAGTCGCGATGTGGCAACGCGAAGTGGAACGAGAGCGTAGGCGCAGTGCGATGTTCGAGCGGCAAGTGGCCGTCGCTGTTCGACGAGCGGGCGGCGTTGTCGGAAACGCGGGAAACGCAGTGCAACGAGAGAGGGACTGTATCGGAAGTGTGCGGAGGAGAGGCAGAATTTGGCGTTCGAGTCGATGAGCTGCAAACGGCAAGCGGAGGCGATTGCGAAGCCGCCAACGTGCTGTGCGCCAGGTTGCGGGCAGCCTCCTGGGGCGCGAAGAAGCTGAAGGCCGAGCAGGTGGAGGGCCAATGTAGGAAGAGAGAAGCACCAGAGTGGTCTGCAGGGAGTGTGAAAAGCGGGGCGCAACTTCCAAGGTAGTAGTCCATGCGGCGAAGCGGTCGGGGTGCGAGCTGATGTGCGCGGCGTGTGAGGGGGCATTCTCGGACGTGAGAAATTTGAAGAAGGACCGAATGGAACGTAATCGAAAGACGATGCAAGCGCGAATGATGTGCGGAGGTTGCAAAGACGTCGGGTTCATAACGCGCACTTGGCAGGCGTATCGGTGCAGCGGGACGTTCAATAATATGCTGCCGACATCGGCGTTCTCCGTGTCCACTAACCATGTCGCGCGCGAGCAACAAGGCAATTTGAAGTGCATGGCGTGCACATGATGCCCGTTAAGGCCGCGAGGCTTGGAACCGAATCAGCAGTGGTGCTCAGCGTGCCGGGCTCCGTGGAAGTCGGGTCAGGGGGGAGGAATCGAGCGGGAGGACGAAATTGATGATAAGGAGAAAACGGACAAGGAGGACACGGATAATGAGGAGGAGGGGAGGAGGAGGAGGAGGAGGAGGAGGAGGAGGAGGAGGAGGAGGAGGAGGAGGAGGAGGAGGAGGAGGAGGAGGAGGAGCAGGAGGAGGAGGAGGAGGATGAGGAGGAGCAGGAGGAAGAGAAGGACGGGGATATTGACGAAGAGGATGAGGCAGAGGATGAGGAAGAGGAACGGGAGGAGAAACAAGAAAACCATTGTCTGTTTCATGGGGCCTCAGAGTCCTGAGGGATGATTATTGAGGTACTTGTAGTTTTCGTGGGCAACGTTGTCAACGCTCGCCGTGCATACGTGGGAAAATTGCGCGGGCTCCCTGGCCGTGAAACTTGTCATGGCTTTCGGTCCATCCCAGGATGGTTTCGGGTCAGTGTCTCAGGGATGTTTCGTGGAGTCTCTTTGGAACGCTTTCGGGGGGCGAGGGGGGCTTTGTCAGAGTCCTGAGGGATGCTTCCTGGGATAAGTGTATTTTCGGCGGCCGACATTGTCAGTGTGTGTTCCGTGTACGCATGGGGGAACGGGCGAAACCCCGCGTGCACAGACGGCCCGCATGCGTGAAACCACCAGGGGAATGATTATCGAATGGCTTTCGGCCCATCCCGCCACCGTGTTAGGTAGTGGGTCAGAGGCCAGTCGGATTGCTGACGGGATATCGTGGGAGGCCTTTTGGGTGCCTCCTGGGGGGCTTTGGGGGTGTTTTTTGGGGCCCTGTTGGGGTTCCCTGGGGGCCGTTGGGGCCTCTTGGGGGCTTCTTGGGTCAACCTTGGGGCGTCTTGGGGGGGAAGGCTCGAAATGTCCGTTCGGGTTCCCTCTCTGGGCCATCTCTTGGGGCCGTCTTGGGGTTTTCTTGGGCCGTCTTGGGGGCTTCTTTGGTCGTCTTGGGGCCCTATTGGGCTGTAGTAATTTTTTTTTGGGAGCTGCCTAGGTCAACCTCGACGTCGCGAAAGCCAAAAAGGAAGACATGCTAAAACATATTTTCTTTCTTTAAGGAATGGTTGTTTGTTTAGGCCCTCTTGGGGGGCCTGTTGGAGGCTGCTTGGGGGCATAGTGGGCTGGCTGTCTGGAGGCCCTATTTGGCGTCTTCGAACGAGCTTTCGGCGACTCCGGGCTTCGAGATCCGTCTTGGAGGCTTCTTGGGGCCCTCTAATCCCGGTGTGGGGCTTTCTGTGCCCCCATGGCGTTCGTGCCGGGGTCCCCTGGGGCCATGGTGGGGGGTGTCAACTTGCCGGTTTGAGGTCCCTGGGAGGGGTGATAGGGGGGAACAATCTCACACGCCTAGAGACCCACAAGCGGTCGGCGGATTTTGACATGCGCGCGCGGGAGGCCTGTTTGGTCGCAGGATTCGCAAATGCTGCGCGGTGCGAGCCAGGTGGCGCAACGTGCGTGGTGCGATCCGTGTGGTGCGAGCTCGCGATGCACCGTACGTGGCGCGATCCGTGTGGTCTGAGCCGCGCAGTGCGCGCACAGGGCTCCCACGAGGCGCCCACAGGGCGGCAACGCGGCGAAATCTCGGCGGACTCGCCCAGCGCAGGGGGCGCCGGGCGCCCGCAGGGCGCGCACGAGGCGCCCGCGGGCGGCAGCGCGGCGAGGCCTCGGCCGGCCCTTCCCGCGCACGGGGCGCGCCGGTGCCAGCGCGGCGACGCCTCGGCGGGCCCACGGCGCCCACGGGCGGCAGCGCGGCGAGGCCTCGGCGGGCCCCCCCTGGCGCGCGCGGCGACCACGAGGTCGCGCCCGCGGGCGGCAGTGTGGCGAAGCCGTCCGTGGGAAACACACACACAAACACACAGCCTGTGGGGAAAAAACGCACCGACGGACTGTTGTGTTCGTGTTTTTGTGTGTGTGCTTTTGTCCCACTGTGTGTGTGTGTTTTTTCCCCACCGTGTGGCGGAACCTCGGCGGGCCCTCCCAGCGCACGGGGCGCTCACGAGGCGCCCGCA